GGGGGGGGAGCTCACTAACTGGGTCCCCCATGGAGCCCATGCCTAGTTTAGCCTCTCAACTAGAGCATACGCTCAACTGGCTGCATTGGTAAGAGCCAATTCCAGCATCTTTTTGGCCTTAAGTAGGAAGAGGGTCGTGCTTTGAGATTTGAGTCAAATAATTATGTATTCCCCCCATCCGTCTTTCCTACACCCCTGGGGATCCAAGAATCTTGCGCCCAGCCCATTTCCAGGTTCCCCTCTCTCCAGTGACAGGTCAGTGCGCAGGTCTAAAGTGGAGCTGTTTTACTGGACTCTCACCCGTTCATTTAGGGCCTTTCTACTGGAAGTGCAGTCCATGGACCAGCAGGTTGTTAGAAATGCAGAATCTCACACATTACTGAATCAGAATCTGTATTTTAGCAAGGTCCCCAGGTGCTTTTGGGCACACATGAAAGTTTGAGAAGCACTGATCTCGGAGACCTTGGTAAATCAGTCCACCTCTCTGAGCCTCTATTTCTTCATCTGTGGGATCTAGGTCGGTTGTGAAGATCCCATTGGAAAGAGCATGTGAAGCATTTAGCTTTAGTGCCTCGGCAGGGCAAATGCTCTGGGACTGTCAGCCGTGCCTCTTCCTGCCCCAGCACAGAGTGGGCAGGGGTGATCCAGACAGGGCCAAGGATGGGAACCCAGAAGCAGGAGAAGGGGCAGAGCAGGAGGGGAGGGACAGGAGAGGACTGAGAGATCTGCAGAACAAAGAGTGAGGAAGGTGTACAGGAGGGGCGCGCAAGGGAAGGAGGAAGAGGGGAAGGGCGGCAGATGGGTGTGGAGTCACACACCTGTCTCACTTCCGCTGGGCGGGGCTGAGAACGAGCTGGGGTCTGGCTTGGCGGGTGGGCAGCTCCCAGTAATGGGTTGTGGGAACAGCTCAAGTCTTGCATCCAGATGAATTCCACTTCTCCCATCGACTAGTTGACTCGTTGTGTGACCTTGAGCAAGGCACATCACCTCCCTGAGTGGTCATTTCCTGGTCTATAAAAACCAGGTTAATGAAACCTATCCATACCAGAGTTGCTGAATGCATGCAATGGGGGTGGGGGTGGGGGTGGATGTAGCCATGTTTTGTAAATTGCACGTGCTTGTTATGCACCCATTTCTGTTTGAGGACCAAGAGGCAGGGTGTTTGGGTGACAGAAGAATGGTGTGATAGGAGAGCATCACTAGGGCATGGGAGACTTAACCCTGCTCCCCAACAAGGATGTCCCAGGCTCCCAGTTCTTCGACAGCCTCCCTCCCGCTGCCGCCAACCCAGCCCCTCTCTCTTCTACACCGTCTCTCTGAAGCTAGGCATTTAGGATATCTTTTCCCCAACACCGCCCGTGCTTTTTCTCCCAGCTTTTACCAGTGCGAAATGTTCCCAAGGAGAGGGAAGGGGGAGCGCGAGAGTGATTGAGTGCACTGACCTCTTGCCCCCAGGGAAGGTGCTGCCTGTGATGGGTTTGACCGGGGGGCTCGTCTCTGTGGGGTGAGCCTGGCAGCGGGGAACTTGCCTCCGCCTCTCCTTTGACCGACCCCCCCCCCCCCCCCGGCCCAGCTGCTCCGCAAAGCCCCGTCGCAGCTAGGGCCGGCGGGGCCTCGGCTTCCATCTCCGGGGCGCCAGCGCCATCTGGTGTCCATGCTGGGGAACTCTCCGTACGGGAAAAGGGGGCTTCGTTGAGCACGGCAGGAACTGCTTATAAGCATCCCTTGCGCTCGGCACTGCGCCAGGGCTGGGGACACCGGACAAGCTCATTGCTCCTGTGCCGCATAAACCTCAGTGGGGGAGAGATGCGCCCTGGACAAGGAGACAAACAGATACACCAGATCATCTCAGGTCTTGATAAGTACTCAGCAAACCGCCGAACACCTTGGTGATGTGTGTGTGGTATATGGGCACGCGTCTGAAGAGGGGACACTTAAGCAGAGCCTTAAAAGACAGCTAACCATGCCAAGGGCGGGGTGGGAGGAGGCATTCCAGGTGGAGGAACTGAACGAACAAGGGCCAGAGGAAGGAAGGTGCTCCATAAGTTTGAATTTGTCACCGGCTGGAGTGGCAGGAGAGGTCACACTGCATGGAGATTTTCAGGCCAGGGAAGGAGTTGGGCTTTACTCTCTGGGAAATGTTGGGTTTCAAGCCAGCAAGGGACTCGATCGGATCCATGCACTTTACAACGGGCACTCTGGTTACTGTGTGGGGGAAGGGCCAGGAGCGAGGGGCAAGGATGGATGAAGGCAGACCAGTTAGGAGCCCATCGCCACCGCCAGGTGGGAGATGGTGGTGAAAGGGGGCGGGGGCACGAGATGGAAGGAAAGTGGTTGGATTCTAAAGAGATTTCAGAAGTCGAATCGCCCAGTGCACATGCTGGATCTAATGTAGGGGTGAGGGAGAGGGAAGTGTCAGGGATTCTGACTTGAGAAACTGGATAGATAGATGGTGGGGCCCTTTCATTAGAGGAGGGGGAGCACAGGTTTTGGGAAGGTAGCAAGAGTTCTGCTATTGCTATGTGATGCTGGGGATGCCTTTGAATCATCTAAGAGAGGGTGTCTCTAGAAAAGATCCTGCTTGGGGAAGAGGCGGGGCTGCAGACCGCTCGCTACTGGACAGTGGTGTCCAGGCGGGTGCGATGGTCCTCCCACAGGACAGGGAACCTTGAGCTTAAGGAATTGCCTTAGCCCCTCCGTTCATCTCCTCTCCTCCTCTCTCTCACCCTGCAGGTCTATACTCGCTATGGGAAGTGTTACACCTTCAACGCAGATCCACAGAGTTCGCTGCCCAGTCGGGCAGGGGGCATGGGCAGTGGCCTGGAGATCATGTTGGACATCCAACAGGAGGAATACCTGCCCATCTGGAGAGAGACAAGTATGCAGGGAAAGGGATGGGGGGCCAGTTTGGGGGCTCCAGCCTGGGCGCTGCCCGGCGTGGGTTTCCAAAGGTCCCCACGTCCACTGTGCAGACGAGACATCGTTTGAGGCTGGCATCCGAGTGCAGATCCATAGCCAAGAGGAGCCCCCCTACATCCACCAGTTGGGCTTCGGTGTGTCCCCAGGCTTCCAAACCTTCGTGTCCTGCCAGGAACAGCGGGTGAGCACCTCCAGTTGGGTCCTGAATTGGGCATAGGGCAGGGGTCTTTGGGCCCAGAGGGGATACCGACCAGCCCTGCCCTGAAAAGCTCACCGCCCACCAGCAACCCCCCCCCCCGCCCCCGCCCATGGACTTTGCTGGAGCTGTGGGCAGTGGAGGGCCCGGGGGACTCTGAGGCGTGACCCCATATGCCCCACCTCCGCAGCTGACCTATCTGCCCCAGCCCTGGGGCAACTGCCGGGCGGAGAGCGGGCTCCGGGAGCCTGAGCTTCAGGGCTACTCAGCCTACAGCGTGTCTGCCTGCCGGCTGCGCTGTGAGAAGGAGGCCGTGCTTCAGCGCTGCCACTGCCGGATGGTGCACATGCCAGGTGGGCGCCCTCCCCTCCCGCCGGCCTCTGCCACCATGCCGGGCTCCAGATCCTCCAGGGCCGAAGCCTGCTCCTGTGCATGAGCAAGGGCATGTGTACCACAGCATGTGTGCAGGTCTAGCCTCCTGTGAGGGCATGCGTGTGCGCTTGGGATTTTTAAAAAGGACTTATTTATTTATTTGAGAGAGAGAGAGCGGGGAGGAGGGACAGAGGGAGCGAGAGAGAAGCAGACTCCCTGCTGAGCATGGAGCTGCCTGGGGCTTGATCTCATGAACCTGAGATCCTGACCTGAGCTGCAACCGAGAGTCGGATGCATAACAGACTGTGCCACCCAGACGCCCCGTTTGAGATTTTGTGTGGTTTCACTTGTGCACCTGGGAATGCACACATGCATGCTTGTGGCATGTTAATATGTATCTGAGCATACATGTGCTTATGCACATTTACGCTTGTATACTCGAGGGGGTTGTGTGCATGGGCTTGAACACACGCATACAGATGCGTGTGTATACGTGTGCCTATGCTTGCAAGTGTGCCTATGCTTGCAAGCATATATGCATGTGGACATTTTAGGCATACATGCACAAGCATGTAGAAGCTCATGCGTGTATAGGGATGTGCAAACACCTACATGTGTGTGCACGTGTGCGTGCGTGTATGTGTGTGCCCACATTTGGGTATGTGGTGGGGGAGAGGGGGTGGGACCGTAGACTCCAGGAATAATCTTCTCTCCTTTCAGGCAATGAGACCATCTGCCCGCCAAATATCTACATCGAGTGTGCCGACCACACACTGGGTCCGTGCTGCCTTCTCCCTTCCCCTGCCTCTCCATCCTCCTCCTCATCTCTCTGTCCACTGTTCTCCTCACTGCCTTGGCCCACCTCCTCCTAGTCCCTCCCTGGATGGTTCTTCCCGGGGTTGAGCCTTATCCCATACTTCCAGGGGTTCTGAGGACTTTGCAGGTGTGGACACTTGGGTAAGTGGAGGCAGCAGGGTGGGGGGGCGGTGCAGAAAACCCAGGACTGGGAGTGAAGGGCTGGGCTTCTGTCCTGGCTCAGCAAATGAGCTCACCCTCTCTGAGAAAGTGAAGGGACTTCTCTCGGGCTGAGGAGAGATGCGCTGCTGAGTATCAGTGTGAGTAAGGCAAGCACCATCCGTCCATAGGTCTCACTTGGGCTGCGGTTCACTCATTCTTTCATCCATCCATCCATTCCTTCCTCTGCAGACGTGGCCGGCCTGGGCTGGTGCCGGAGGTGAGAGTGGGAACAAGAGGCCGTCCTCATGGGGCTTCCCGGCCCGCGGGGCTGTGGATGGGCACCATGATGGCACGCACGGCGCTGGTCCTTGCAGAGGGGGAATTTCAGGGGTGCTACAGGGCCCCAGGGAGGGGCGTGCAGCTCCACCTGGGAAGGCGGGAAGATCCTTGGAGGAAGTGATTGATTAGCTGAGACCTGAAGGGTATGGAGAGCCAGACTGGTGGAAGGCAGGGCCATGATCTCGGCCGTGGGGGCAGTTCTGTGCTAGACACCTGTGGCCAGAGAGCGTGTGGGGGTGGGGCACCGAAAGGTCAGCAAGCCCGGAGGGCAGAGAACACAGGAGGGGGCAGCAAGAGTGGAGGAGGCTCTGGGAAGACCATGGTGGCTCAAGGCAAGGCAAGAACGCCCTCTGATGTTAGGCAAGGTGACTCGGAGCCGCTGCGGAGAATGGATAGGGGGAGTCAGAGCAGAAGCAGGGCAAGTGGTCAGGAGGGCATTGCAGTCATCCAGACGGTGGGGCCGTGGGGAGGGAGAGACAGGACCGGCGGTGGGACCACACCCAGACCTTCTCTATCTGGCATCCCAACCGCATCAGCCAAAGGGGCAAGGATGGTTAATGAAGGGGCAGATGTGAGAGCAAGGGCACGGGAACCGCAGGGATGGTGGAACTGCACAGAGCTAGCAATACCGGGCAGGGATCGACTTGTGCAGGCCCGAGGGGGTAAAGGGAAGGCCCAGACAGAGACCTGTGGCTGTCCCAGAGGACAGGAGCTATGGCCACAAGAGGGGGGAGCAGCCTCAGCCGACCCACAGCCTGGTGGAGAGGAAGCCAGGAGAAGAAATCCCCTGGCATCTGTCCTCTCCTTACCCTCTGCCTCTGCTGGGGTCTCTTCCATTGGCCCAACCCAACCCAAAGCCAGAAGACGAGGGAGTCTAGCTGATGTGTCTGGCAGAGAGCCCCGCCTCCTGAGCACAGAGAAAAGTGGAGGAGAGTGGAGAGTGAATCTGAAGAGGGGAACAGAGAAAATCTAGTGTATTTTTTTACTTAAAAAATTTTTTTTCAACATATTTTTTTATTTTTTATATTTTTTTAAAGATTCCATTTATCTATTTGACAGAGAGAGACACAGCGAGAGAGGGAACACAAGCAGGGGGAGTGGGAGAAGGGAGAAGCAGGCTTCCCATTGAGCAGGGAGCCCGATGCGGGGCTCGATCCCAGGACCCCGGAACCATGACCTGAGCCAAAGGCAGATGCTTAACGACTGAACCACCCAGGCGCCCCCAACATATTTTTTTAAAGATTTATTTATTTGAGAGAGAGAGCGAGCACATGTGCGTTCACACAAGTGGGCGGGAGGGGCAGAGGGAAAGACTCTTCAAGCAGACTCCCCGCTGAGCAGGGACCCAGGCCCATGAGATCATGACCTGAGCTGAAACCAAGAGTCGGATGCTTAACTGACTGAACCATCCAGGCGCCCCGCGAAAATGCAGCATATTAAACATAGCATTTGTCTTTTTGCCCATTTGTCCATCCACCCACCCACTCATCCACTCATCCATCTGCATATGTAAAAACAAGCATATAATCCCATTCATCCAGCATCCTCCAAGCCCCGTGTGCCCCGTGTGTGTGTGTGTGTGTGTGTGTGTGTGTGTGTGTGTGTGTGTGTGAGAGAGAGAGAGGCCTCGTGTGATTGATTAGCTCCGATGGATGGGCTGTGTCCTCCGTCTGAGCCATGGGGACTTCTCCGCCCCAGGGGGCTGGGACACAGAAGGATAAGCCTATAGGAGGGTGCTGGGGGGCTCTACCTTCACCTGCTTTCTTAGGTAGTCTGAAGCTGGTCCAGGAAGGATCCCCCAGCAAGTCTCCCCTAGGCAGTGCCAGTAGAGGCCCCTCCCTCCCCTCCGTGGACGTGCCTGCCTCAGGACAGCCCCTACACCTTCTCCCGGCAGCTAGTGAGCCTCTGGACCACCCGCCCTCCCCCCTTGCAGCTGGTGCCTCTGTGTTGCAGACTCCTTGGGTGCGGGCTCCGAGGGCCCGTGTTTCTGCCCTACTCCCTGCAACCTGACTCGCTACGGGAAAGAAATCTCCATGGTCAGGATCCCCAACAGAGGCTCAGCCCGGTACCTGGCAAGGAAGTACAACCGCAATGAGACCTACATCCGGTACGTGTGTGTGTGTGTGTGTGTGTGTGTGTGTGTGTGTGTGTGTAGCGGAGGCCACCCTCAGCAGGCCTGGCGCATGGCGCACACTGGGGGTGGGCCGCATCTTTCTTACCAACGAGGTTCCTGGCAGGGATGCCTTTCACAGTCCCGTTCCTCGAATTAAACCCTACCCATCCTCCAAGTCCCGTCCTGTGTCCCCACCTCCAGGGAGGCCCCTCTTTTTTAAATAAAGATTTCTATTTATCTGGGAGAGAGAGCGTGCATCCGCACACAAGCGTGCACGAGTGGGGGGAGGGGCAGAGGCAGAGGGAGAAGCAGGCTCCCCGCTGGGCGCAGAGCCTGACCCGGGCTCCATCCCAGGACCCTGAGCTCATGACCTGAGCTGAAGGCAGCCGCTTAACTGACTGAAGACACCCAGGCGCCTCCAGGGAGGCCTTTCATGATCCAAACGTCTTTCGTCTGAGCTCCCACAGCAGCCTGTACCTCTCTCTCTCATTGCACCCACCTGTTGCTTTCCCGCCCTCCACTGGGTCTTTCTCCCCCAGCAACCTGGGGGCCATTAAATGCACACTGAGGGAATGCTGTGCTGACCGAGAGGGACCAGGTGGCCGGCCGGCGGGAGAGGCCTCACTGAGCCTTGGGTCTGGTCCCCTGCAGCCAATCTACAAATGCTGAGCATCCTGTGGGTGCCAGGGGGTGGGTCCTGTGGGGACAGAGACGATTACACCACAAAGCTCCGGCCACAGTGTGTGGGTGAGGCCATATTTGAGGGTGTGATACCGGCTGTCAGGCCTCCACTGAGGTTACCGGGCGGGGCAGACGCCGAAGTGTGTGAGAGGAGGAGACGGGGGAGGCCTCCCAACTAGAGAACTGTGGGATCATAGAGACACGAGCCTGAGCGGCGGTGGAGGGGGGGGGGTGTGGAGAGAAGCAGGTAAGAAAGCAGTCTGGCTAGGAAGGTACAGATCATGGGCAGGCTTGGAGGCCCGGAAAAAGAACTTGGGGGTGGACTGCTGGGCAATAGGGAGCCACTGAAAGTTCTAGAGAGGTATTGCGGTGATGCGGAGTGAATGTCATTTGCTGCCTCACAGTGGAAGGCAGGAGGGACTCCTTCAGGCCCAGGAGTTTTATTTTGCTCTCCCAGGCCTGTGGCTAACCCTCAAAATATGAAACAGACATGCACCTAGGACTGTCCCCCCTCACAGCCTTTGGGAGTCTGAGGGAGGTGGTCCCCGGCTTCTTGGGGCAGGGGACCTCGGATCAGGACCTGCTGGACCTGGCATGTCCCCGCCAGCCGCCTCCTCAGGAGGACCACCCCACAGGGACACTCTGCTTCCTGTCTCCACAGGGAGAACTTCCTGGTCCTCGATGTCTTTTTTGAAGCCCTGACCTCTGAGGCCATGGAGCAGCGAGCAGCCTATGGCCTGTCAGCCCTGCTGGGTGAGCCACGGTCCTGACCCGTTTCCATGGGGGTGGATCAGCCTAGCCTGTACCTCTGACCTGCTCTCGTGCTCCCCAGGAGACCTCGGGGGACAGATGGGCCTATTCATCGGGGCCAGCATCCTCACACTACTGGAGATCCTGGACTACATCTATGAGGCAAGGGATGGGGGCCTGGGGCCCCCCCCGGAGGGGGCATGGAGGGTGGGAGGAGAGGCTGTGGGAAAAGCCGGGCAGGCAGTACAGGCTTCCCGGTGCGGCTGGCCTGGCCGCGAAGCCAAGCTTGGAGGTTGGGGCCGGGGTCTCCTGACCAGCTGGAAGGCGTGAGGGCACTGAGGAGTTAGGAGAAGGGGATGGATGGGGAGGATTAGGGAGTCCTCTTGGGGGTTTGCTGGGGCAGCGAGTCCTACAGGGTGGGCCCCAGTGAGGCCTAGCCCTTCTCCCCTACCAAGTTTCCTGAGCCCACTGCTGTCCCCCCACCCTGAACCCCAAGGTGTCCTGGGACCGACTGAAGCGGGTGTGGCGTCGTCCCAAGACCCCCCTGCGGACCTCCACTGGGGGCATCTCCACCCTGGGGCTGCAGGAGCTGAAGGAGCAGGTGAGGATGAGCTCTGCAGAGTGCAGTCAGTGCCCTCTGCTAGGACTGACAGCCTCAGCAGCTTCTGACCCAGCTTGTCAGAGCTCCCCTGGAGCCCCTGCCCCAGGGCACAGGGAAAGCCTGGCTGTGTGGGGCCCGGGGGTCTGGCTCACATTCTCCATGTCTCACTCCCTCTTCATCTTGCAGAGCCCATGCCCTAGCCGGGGCCATGCTGAGGGCGGGGGAGCCAGTGGCCTGCTCCCCAACCACCACCACCCTCCTGGCCCCCGAGGAGGCCTCTTTGAAGATTTTGCTTGCTAGGGTGGTGCTGTGTCTAAAAAGACCCAGGAGTCTGGGACCCCTCCCAGGATCCCCAAAGGTCTTCTCCTGCTCCTGGGACACAAGGCCTGGGGGCAGCCCAAGGGGAGGGGGAGAGGGCGGTGTTCGTTGGGAGGGTGGGGACTCGGTTCAGGCTCTCACCAGCTCTGGCACCAGTGGCTTTGCAGAAGGGTCCTTCTGGTCCCCCCTCCCACCACCCCCCCCTTAAGCCCCAGGCTGGTGCCCGGGGAGGGCTGGAGGGGAGGAAAGGAGCAAGGGGACCACCCGAGCAGCGGTGGGACCCCCTGTACATTTGTATATATTTAGGGAGGACAGGGTGGGGGTGGCGATACAGATGTAGAAGGTGGGTGGGGCTATGGGGGTGGGTGATTCAGGGACAGCCAAGGGTCCTAGCCCTAGAATGTCAGCAGGAGAGGGAGAACCCCCAGGACTCAGGAGTGCTGGGCTGGTCCTACTTCCTGTCCCTCTCCAGGCCCAGCTCCCCCTTTTGGCAGGGGGACTGGGTGGCCCAGCAGGCCTGGCCCAGCTCCCAATTCCCCCTGCCCCAACCCCACCTTCAGAGTCCCCTCCACAGGGAGCAGGCCGACCCATTAGACCTTGGCTGAGCTTGGGGGTGGGGAAGGGAGCCTTCTCCATGGGCCTCTCTGCCTCTGGTCTGGTTTTATAAAGCGCTAACGAAACTGAGAATAAAGAGGCATAAAGAATTCTCTGTGTGCCTGTATGACCAAGCTGGGGCAGGGCGGCGCACAGGCATGGCTTGATCCCTGGGAAAAGGAAACCCGGGCCCCAGCCAGCCAGGACAAGGGGGCCTCCATCCTCCCCGCCAGCCCTCCCCGTCCCCAGGCCACCTTTTGAAAACTCAGAATCACGAGTCCACACTCAGTTTATTAAAGGCAGGGAGCTTCATCCAGGTCCAGAAGGGAGAAGTTGGGAGATAACCTACCTTCTTCTCTCAGCTCCCCTCTTCCCCAATCACTCATCTACAGCCCAGCCCCCAGGAGGCCCTAGGAGATGGGGCTGGTGTCAGGCAGACTGCACTGCATAAATACTCAAGAGGCCACAGCTTGAATCAGCAGCGTCAAGGGGCGGGTGGGGGGGGGGGCAGGGAGACCAGGTTTGGGGCAGGAAGGGGCAGCTCCGGAGGTTCACCCCCCCTGGGGCCTGTCTTGAGCCCGAGGACCCACAAAACTAGAGAGAGGGGGCCCGCGGGCGGCCCTGGGGTCCAAGGCTGCAGCCAGCCCTGTCCGGCGAGGCTGGTAGGTGGCTCCGGGTTGCTGGGGAGGAGCGGCGGGGGGGGGGGGGTTGCCCGCTGCCATGCTGGGGCTCCAGGGTGCGGGGCGGGCTCAGGTGCTGTTGCCCTGCTCCTGCTCGAAGAGCAGCATGGCTAGCTGGGTGCGGGAGCCCAGGCCCTCCAGCTCGCTCTCGCGGCAGCGGTGGTACAGGTCCTCGCCGAGCCGCGCGCTGCACGCCTGGGCCCGGTAGCGCTGCAGCAGCGCGGGCTCCACGGCCCGCAGCACGTGGAGGCTGGAGAAGCGCAGGAAGAGCCCGTACACGTCCAGGCTCTCCAGCAGCTCCTCCTCCTGCTCGGGGGCTGCTGCAAGCCGCCCGCGGGCCGCCACATAGTCGGAGTTGTAGAAGCAGGCCTCGCCAGCCGCCTGGCGATCAAAGCGGCCCGTGTCTCGGCCCAGCTCTGGGGGCCCGGGGCCCTGGGGGGGTGCCACGGCCGGGTGGAAGGCCTGGAAGTGCATGGGGAAGAAGGCCTGCCAGCCAGAGATGGCGTGCATGCGGCAGCGGTTCAGGAAGTCAGGCGTGAGCACCGTGTCTGGCCCGGCCAGCAGGAACAGCGTGTCCAGCGGGTGCTTCTTGGAGAGCAGATCCAGGAGGCGCAGCGGTGAGGGCGCGGCCGTCTGCACACTGAGCCAGGGCACCCGGGCACCAGGGAAACGCCGCTCCAGCTCGGCCACGTGGGCCTTGACAGGTGCAAAGATGTCCGCATGGGCCGCCCGCTGGGCCTGCCGGGGCTCGTACAGGAGCAGCAAGGTCAAGGCTGCTGCCGCGTCGCCGGGCTCCAGGGCTGCGGCGGCGAAGGCCTCCAGGAAGCCAGGGGCCAGGTCACGCTCGGCCGCAGCCAGAGGCAGTAACACGGTGAGACGCGAGGCCTCCGTGACATAGGGCACAGGCAAGATCTCCACACGGCTCAGCGGCCGTAGCAGCTGTACCCGGCGGGTCAGGGGCCGGCGGCCGCCCTGGGGAGTCAGCACCTCCAGCTGCAAGTCCAGGGTGTACTCCATGCCCCGGGCAGGATCAAAGCGTCGGTAGCCATTAACCAGCTGCTGTTTCTGGAGCCGCAGGGCTGGGTGGTAGCGACGATTGAGCTCTTCCAGGGCTGCCCCTAGAACGTCAGCCACATCGGCCTGGTCGGCCCCTCGCAGCGGGCATCGGGGCGAACCGTCAGCACAGGAGAAAGCATGCTGCTCTGTGAAATAGTCCCAGCGCAGCACCTCAAAGCGGGAGGCCGGGCGGGATGGTGCTGGAATGCCCACGGGCCAGGCGGCTGCCCGTTCCCCGTCAGCTGCCAGATGGCTGGTGTTCTGGATCTCCCACTAGGTTGGAGAAACAGACCATGAGCAAGGCAAAGACCATGGGGGTCAGCACATCGCTGGAGGACTAAGCAGCCACTGGGATGCTACTTTGGATGGGTGCTACTTGGGATGGGTCCCCACTCCCTTGCCAACCTCTGCTATCCCAGGGCCCCCACCTATCCTTTCCCCAGACTGGGGCAGCCTAAGGTGGAAAGGGAAGTTTCCAGAGGAGCTTCTCAGAAAAGGCAGAAACGAACAGCGACTGGGAAGCTGGTTTGTTCTCGGACTCTAGTGTTAGTTGTGTTTTTTTTTTAAGATTTTATTTATTTATTTGACAGACAGAGAGCACATGAGCATAAGCACGCGCACAAGCAGGGGGAGTGGCAGGCAGAGGGAGAAGCAGACTCCCCACTGAGCAGGGCGCCCGATGTGGGACTCGATCCCAGGACCCCGGGATCATGCCCCGAGCTGAAGGCAGACACCCAACCGACTGAGCCACCCAGGCGCCCCTCTAGTGGTAGTTTTTATTTCCCTGGGATCTCTGAGAAGTCTCAGGACCTGTCTCCTCTATCCCCGGGGCCCAGACCATACCTGCAGCTCCTGGATCTCCTGGTATGTGCGTTCCAGCTCAGCTCGGGCAAAAGCTTTGTGCAGCTGGTACATATGCACGGGGTCATGCACAGGGTGGGCTGTCAGGGCGCTGCGGAAACGGGGGTCTCCTTCCTGCACATGCTCCCCAGGGCGTAGCTCCAGGTAGCTATAGTGGACTCCCTGGAGAGAGGAAGGGAAGGGGTCCATAACGGGAGGAGTGATGGGACAGCCTCCCCACCCACCCCCCAGTGTGTGCCTCATCTTCCCATCCTATGACCTGCTGTGGACTTGGGAGTCAGAATTACTGGGTTTAAGTCTACCTTGACCAGTTGTGAGCTTGTGTGACTTTGGGCAAGCCTCTGCTAGCTCATCTGTGAAATGGGCATATGCATCCTATCTCAGAGCTGTCCAGGGGCTCAAATAAAATAAGAGCCAACACTGAACACCCACTATGTGCAAGACTCCCTTATTTTTTTTCCTAATCCTTAGAACAACCCTGAGCAATAGTTATTTTCATTGGTCTGGAGGATACCAAATTTCAGGAGATGCAGTGATTTGCCCCTGTAACCACAGGGATAGAAAGTGACAGCACTGGCATGGAAAACCCAGGGCTATTATTTCCAACTCCCCCCTCGCCTCTGAGGGGCAAGTGCACGAGCTCAGACCGGAGGTGCCGGCGGGGCGGCTTATCTGCCCACCTCGTGGTCGCCGGTGCAGCCCACCCCCGTGGCATCGAGGATGCAGCGCCCCAGCCACTCATCCGGGTGCGCGCTGACAATGTCGTTGCGGCAGCTTTCCAGGTGGGGGCGCAGCCGCTGCAGCAGTGTGCGAGACAGCAGCACCCCAAAGCCGCCGTGGCAGTAGCGGCCTGGGGCGGGCTCTCCCCCGATGAAGTCCTGCGGCCGGCCCAGATAGAGGTGGGCGGCGGCTGCCAGGCTAAGACGGCCAGCTAGGCGAGCCAGTCCATGGGCCTCGGTGTAGGTGGCATCAGGCACTATGAAGAACCAGTCAAAGTCGTCACCGTGTTGCTCCAGTAGGTGGCGCAGTGCCAGGTGCAGGTGCCCGATGGGCCGCTCCTCACCCAGTGTCACTACGGCCATGCCCGGTGGTGCCCGGCGGCCCCGAGAGCCAGTCAGGAACACCACGCGCTCTAGCCGGTGCCCCAGCGTGCGGTTCACGGCCACACCCAGTGTGGGCAACGTGGCTTGTGAGGTCAGCACCGCCACAAGCAGCCTCTGCCGGATGCCCAGCTCTGTGCTGATGTATCGGGTCCTGGGGGGTGGGGTGGGGGGGAAGAGGGCACAAGGTTATCAAAAAGACAACAGGGCAGGCAGGAGAGCGCATACATAGGCTCTGGCGGGTCACATCCCCTCTGGACCTGTTTCTTCCCCTATGTATAGGATAAGAATAACAACTCTCTCCTAGGGGTCATGAGGATTTACCTGAAATACTGGCCTTACCTACTCAGTGCTTTGGGGAGATGGCAATATCCATGCCAATATGAGGGATACTTTGTGGGTCTGATTCTCTGTTTCACCACTTAGCAGCTGTGTCCTTGAACAAGTAATTTAACCTACCTGAGCCTCGCTCAGTAGCCTGCTCTGTAAAAAGAGGCTGATTGTATCTAATCAAAGCACTTAGCCAAGTGCTCAGCACAGTTATTCCACACACCGCGTATATACTGATTTCTATATAAATATGCCATTATATCACAAATACATCACACAAATGATGTAAAGGAATCTATGGCATAGGAACGTATTGAGTGTGTTTGAGACAAGGGCAAACTGGGGCTCAGGGGTTCCAGTA